GTGTTACTCCAGAAGGAAAACAATTATAAAAAAAGCTGAACATATTTTTGCATTTTAAAGAATTCAGGAAAACTCATAGGCTATTTCAAAGTTATTAAGTAGAAATGAAAAAATATTATATACTGTTATATCTGTTAATTATACCATATTATTATGATATCCATTTTCTGTTTGTCTTTACAGTTTATTCAAAAAACATTTTCATTTGTGGACAGGGTAATAATGTATATAATGGGTTAGGGCATAGAGTTTCTTGTTCTTTGATCAAACCATAGATATCAAACTAAGAATGGGCAAAAAACTTAAGTTTGTTGGATTTAGAGGTAGTATTCAAACTAAAATATTGGCTGCCTTTTAAATGGCAACAATTTAATTTCATCTTACTTTATATTTTGGTAAAACAAAGAAAATAGAGAACTTTTACATTTGTAATGTCAAAGTACAGTAACAAAGAATGGCTATCATAGAAATTATCTTGTACTGTGTAAGAGCAATAAAAAGGCAAATGTATTTATGGAATAAACTAGAATTTATATTTATCATTTGTAAACCTTTACTTGCAAATGCATGAAGTCAAATTTTATATCAAATTAATGCACAGCATTTTGACATGGATGTTTTGTTTATATCTGAACCAAATATATGTAAATACTGATTTCTGAGGATAAAGTAAATTAGCTAAGATATATATTTATAGACATACATATGTACACACATAGTGGCATTCTTTTTCTAATGAATTATATAAATTATTATAAAATAATTATATGTGATTTGATATATATATAAAACCATCCAAAAATGCACAAGGAAAAATTAATAATTTTCCCACTTCAGGCATGTATATCCCTCTGAAGTGAATAATTTTAGTAGTTTGGCATGTTTTATTCCGTAAATTCCTCATGTCTGATTGAAGCACGTATGCCCACATAAAGTTTTATAGTTACATCACACTGGGATGCTTCTTTGATTCTTATGCCAGGGAATTAGTCCCTATCACTTCTAGTGAGTCTTGACCAGTATTTTTATATTACACAAGAAATATTTTCAACATAATATTGACAATAACATAAATTAATGTAGTAATAAAACTAATATATAATATAATCCAATTATTTATGTATACATATGTAAAAATGCACATATATACATATACATATGCATATGTCTATTTATGTATATATGTATGTGTATATATGACAAATATACACATAGATATATGAGAAACAGCAGTTACAGAGTTCAAAAAATGTGAGACATTCCTTCTTCACAATATCTTCTCTGAAAGGTGTGTAGGAGGAGCCCATTAAATAGCAATACTCTTGCTTGTTCTAGTTCTATACCAATTGAGAAATAATAAAAAGAGTAAGGCATCATAAGGCATAGGCTTGTTCTAGTTCTATACCAATTGAGAAATAAAAAAAAGAATAAGGCAATATCACCTTTAATTTTCTTTTTCTTAAAAAGCTGCCATTGAGCGTATGGTTTGTATCTGCAAGAGAGAGACATGCCCATTTGGCCACTGGCAGGATGGATCTTAGCAGGATGTCCCTCAGGTGCAGTTCTTGTCCCACTGGATGGTGGCTGATGGCAATGGAGAGGACTTTCTCTCTTTGGTTAGATGTGTTCCCAAGAGAGAACAGTAGGTGAAGAGAGTTCCTTCAACTTCCAATCTAAGTCATTTGTGTCATTTATCCTGATATAGCCTCTTCCAACCCAAGAAATACTGCATATTGAGAAGAGGGTGGTGAGGTCAGTCTGCTTTAAGAGGAGCCCCCTCTCCAGGGAAGAAAACTGTGTTAGAGAAGAAGCTTTCACCATTCCTACCCCAACCTCTTAGGTATTATTATCAACCCTATTTCACAAATGAGGACATTTTGGCACAGAAAGATAAGTAACTATCCCGAGGGAGGATCCAGACTCAAATCCAGACAGTCTGCTTTCTTATCCAGCAGTTCAAGAATTTGCCTTTCTCCAAAACAGTGCATTTTTTCCTACAATATTTGCACATCTAACAATTTTATAAAATGAAGTCTCCTTGTAAGAATTTACATTCCTATTAAATTAAGATTTCTTCTTATAGTTTTTCTGGAAAATGCATTTTCTATTTTGTAAGTTTACTATTAATCTTCTTTGAACTTTTATGCCTTTATTGAAACATTTATCTTTATTGTATTGATTTGAAGGAACTCTTTATATATAGAGAATAATAACTATGTTGTGTATGCTGTGCATTTTTTTTCATTTTCTATATGGCATCAAGTCTTTTTCTTTATGGTTTCTGGCTTTGTTGCCATTAGACTTACATTTTGATTTTAAATGAACCATGCTGTTTCCAAAACTCTGGATATAAATTGCATGTTATATATGTAAATTAGAAGCATTATTAATTTTCAAAAAAATAGAGTTATGTTTATATCTTGAATATTGGTGGTCTTGGTGTTTTTTCCTTCATTTTTATTTTGAAGGAATTACTCGGTAACAGGATATACTTTTTTTTAAAGGTTTCCCACAGATTTTGTGTGATTTGTAGCTATCGTAGAAGGCTTAGTTTCATGCATGAGATGGTTGGTATACTGTTTTAACTATTCTATGTGGGCTCTAAAAATGAGTATTTATATAATAAAATCTTTTATTTAGTCTTTGGCTATTATGATATAAAGTTAGGATCATCCTGTAGGACTGAGGTTATAGGAAAAAATAGAATTTATTACTTTTTTTAAAGAGGAAGATGAAGAGAAAAGAAGTTCATTATCAATGTTATTCAAATTTATTTTTCATAATTTTTAAGAATTGAAACATATTTATATTCT